TGATTTCAGCTTAGGTCATGATCTCACGGTCATGAGATTGAGCCCCACATCAGACTCCACAGTCAGCGGGCAGTCTGGTTCTCTTCCTCTCCTACTCCTCCCTCTGCGCACGCTCACTCTCTCTATATAAATAAATTAATTTAAAAAACATTTAAAAAGAAAATAAAAAATAAAACATGGCCCCTTTCTCAAACTGAGCAACAACCTTTTCAAGACAAGCTTTGGCAAAAGTTTTCCCTTATAATTCTGTATTCTTATTTTGGTCTAAGTGGAAGTTGGTTTTATAACTGTCTTGAAGATTATATCAACACACTCACACTTCATCCTATTTTCCTCTGTCCTACAGATTACTTAGCACACTGTGAAAACGTAAGTTGAAGAAGGAAATTCTAAGAGTTAGTGACTTGTAGAATGCTTTGTGTTCATGAGTACAAACAACAACTGAGTGGAACAGAACTTGTTTAAAATTTAAGGCAATTAATTTGGGGATTTTTGTTTTTTGTTTTTTAAAGATTTTATTTATTTGACAGAGAGAGAGAGAGAGAGCGAGAGAGGGAACATAAGCAGGGGGAGTGGGAGAGGGAGAAGCAGGCCTCCCGCCGAGCAGGGAGCCCGATGTGGGAATCAATCCCAGGACCCTGAGATCATGACCCAAACTGAAGGCAGTCGCTTAACCGACTGAGTCACCCAGGTGCCCCAAGGCAATTAATTTGAAGACCAACAAACCAGCTGTAAGTTGTATATTTGAATTTACTTTAAAAGCCTTAGCATAAGAATTGGAAAATTTCTTTAGCCTTTAGCAAGCTACACTGTAATTCCAATCATTGTTTTAATATTTTCCAATTATCTATAACTGACAGACCAAGTTCATTGGTTTTGCATCCCATTTAATCCATCAGTGTTTTCAAGCCACGAGGAATGCCCAAAGTAAGCACAATAAAAGGACACGTGCACAATAATATCCTACTTGTCTTCTTGAGAAGTCTCTGATTTCTGTGCACTTAGCTCAAATCAAATTTGCTTTGTACTACAAGTGAATTGCATCTCTACTAGCTTGGTTTTTCCTACATCTTTAACAAGAAGTGTTCCTCACAGATTTCCTCCAGGAAGCTAGCTCTACTATAAGCTTCCGACTGTGACTTTGTTACTATTTTGAAAATTATTAAATTATTAAAAATTATTAAACAGCCACATCTATTAAACAGTCATCTTCATCATTGGCCACTCCAACATATGTCTGGTTTTAGAAACCTTAGTTTCTCTAAGCAGTGCTTCATGCATATATAATAGTACTTTCTGGTGTCAGAGTATTCAGTCTTATTTCTGTTATCACGTCCTCCACTTTCTTCCTCCCATGCCATCACACAATGAGCGTCAAAGCACCCATCCATTCGTTAAAGAGACAACTACAGATAAAATCACTGTTAAAATATTGCTACTTCATAGACTGATTTCGAAAAAGGTGTTTCTTCCTCCTGAGTCTGTGAAATTTTATCCTTCAAATTTTTCTTTGTGTTGAAATTCTAACATGAATCCTGGATAGCTCTCTAGGGTACAATAAGGTCCAGAGAAAGGCATCTTGTCTATTTTGAAAACAAACATGTGACCCCTGGCAATTCTTTTTCTAAATACCGACTTTCTAGAGAAATCAGTATGTCAGTTATTGTACATGACTGGTTGGTGAAATGTGCAAATATGACATCACATATGCAGCCTTGTTTGATCATTTCCTCTGGTCTATACTGTTATTAAAAGCATACTATATTATAGGCCTATTCAAATATTTTAAATATAGAGAAGTATTGTTTCCATAAGATAAATATATTTATATAATATATGCATTACTTTGAAAACTCTGCTTTGACACTGACAAAGTCTAAATTAATTAGCAAATGTATCCCAGTGAGCAATAAATCAATGGAACATTCCAAGAAGAGAGAAGGACACTTAAAATGGAAATAGTTCTCCAGAAGTATACAATTTGGAGTTCAACTAGTGGATATGTTACCAATATCCAACCCTCCAACCTAATTTGAAATTCTTACATTCAACTTTTAAGAGTTATTAATTTATAACTGATATTTAAATGAGAAGTTTCTCTTGTGGTTTCAGTTTGAGAGTAATCATTTACTAGAAAATGCAATGTGGGGGCCCCTGGCTGGCTCAGTTGGTTAACTTGATTTTGGCACAGGTCATGATCTCAGGGTCATGAGATCAAGCCCCACATCAGGCTCCACATTGGGTGTGAAGCCTGCTTAAGATTCTCTCTCTCCCTCACTCCCCATCTCTCTAAAATAAAAAAATAAAAAATGCAATGTGGTTTATGCAAGCAAAACAGCCTGGTATTACTCTTGGCCTCCTCCTTGAGGGTAGTGCAGAGACTGGCAGTGTAGACAGGTGTAGCCACTCAAGTCCTGTCAAGACATAGTCATGCCCTCACATATTTCACTACTCAAGAATTTAGTAACAGTGAAAATTCCATGTTCCTATTCTGATACTCAGAAATGCCTGATGATGCTGATGTACTTACAAACACAGGAACAATCTCTGCTATTATTGTACAAAGCCATAGGAGTACATTAATATTTAAAAAGAAAAAAGTAAAACTGTCACTATTTGCAAATGACATACCATATATACACACACGTATACATACACACACACATACATATATGTATCACCCTAAAGAGTCCACCAAAAACCTACTAGCAGTAATAAATGAATTCAGTAAAGTTGCAGGATATGAATATAGAAATCTGTTGCATTTCAAGAGACTAATAATGAACTAGAAGAAAGAAAAATGAAAAAACAATCCCATTTACAATTACACCAAAAAGGATAAAATACTTAGGAATAAACTTAACCAAGGAGATGAAAGACCTATACTCTGAACCCTGTAAGACACTGATGAAGAAACTGAAGATGACACAAAAAATGGAAAGATATTCCATGCTGTGGATTAGAAGAACTGTTAAAATATCCACACTATCCACAGTAATCCCTATCAAAATACTAAATAGTAATTTTTCACAGAACTGAAACAAAAAATCCTAAAATTTATATGGTCTCACAAAAGACCCCAAATAGCCAAAACTATCTATCTATCTATCTATCTATCAATTATTTAAGTAATCTCTGCACCCAATGTGGGGCCTGAACTCATGACCCCACGATCAAGAGTCACACACTCTACCAGCTGAGCCAGGCCAGGCACCCCTAGCCAAGACAATCTTGAGAAAGAAGAACGAAGCTGGAGGTATCACAATGCCAGATTTCACACTCTATCATAAAGCTACAGTAATCAAAGCAGTATGGTACTGGCACAAAAACAGACATATATATCAATGGAACAGAATGGAGAGCCCAGAAATAAATCCACTCTTACATGGTCAATTAATCTATGACAAAGGTGACAAGAATATACAATGAAGAAAAGACAGTCTCTCCAATAAATCATGTTAAGAAAACTGGACAGCAAAAGAATGAAACTGGCCTGCTTTCTTACATCATACATAAAAATAAACTAAAAATGGATTAAAGATGTACATGTGTATTCTGAAACCATAAAACTCTTAAAAGAAAACACAGACAATAATATCTTGGACATTAGTCTTAGAAATATATTTCTGAATCTACCTCCTCAGGCAAGGAAAACAAAAGCAAAAAGAAAAACTATTAGGATTACTTCAAACTAAAAAGCTTCTGCACGAGGAAAAAAAAAAACAAAACCAAAGGCAATCTACTGAATGGGAGAAGATATTTACAAACGATATATCCAATAAGGAGTTAATATCCAAAATATATAAAGAACTTACACAACACCAAAAAACCCAAATAATCCCATTAAAAAATAGGCAAAAGACCTGAAATCAGTATTTTCCCAAAGAAGACATACAGATGGCCAATAGATACATAAAAAGATACTCAACATCAATAATCATTGAGGAAATGCAAATTAAAATGACAATGAGATAGCACCTTACACCTGTCAGAAGGACTAGAGTCAAGAAGACAAGAAATAACAAGTGTTAGCAAGAATGTGAAGAAAAGGAAACCCTTGGGCACCATTGGTGGGAAGGCAAACTGGCACAGCCACTATGGAAAACAGTACAGAGGATCTTCAATAAATTAAAAATAGAAATACCATATGACCCAGTAACTCTACTTCTAGATATCTGTACAGAGAAAACAAAAATACTAATTCATAAAATATATGCCCCATGTTTAACACAGTATTATTTACAATAGCCAAGAAATGGAAATAACCTAAATGTGCATCCATAATAGATGAATAGATAGAGATGATATATACACACAATGGAATATTACTCAACCATAAAAAAGAATGAAATCTTCTTGCCACTAAGTGGTAAGTATTATGCTAAGTAAATAAGAGAGTGAAAAAGACAAATAACATGAGTTCACTTGTACATGGAATCTTAAAAACGAACCAACAAAACCAGAAACCGACTCAGGGCGCCTGGGTGGCTCAGTCGTTAATCGTCTGCCCTCGGCTCAAGTCACGATCCCATTGTCCTGGGATCGAGTCCCGCATCAGGCTCCCTGCTCAGCGGGAAGCCTGCTTCTCCTCCTCCCACTCCCCCTGCTTGTGTTCCCTCTCTCACTGTGTCTCCCTTTTGAAAAAAAAAAAAAAAAATTTTTAAAAAAAAAAAAAAAAAAGCAGAAACAGACTCATAAATACAGAGAACTAATGGTTGCCAGAAGGGAGAGGGATGGAGGGATAGGCAAAATAGGTGAAGAAGATTAAGAGGTACAAGCTTCCAATCATAAATAAGTCGCAGGGATCGAAAATACAGCATACGGGATACAGTCAGTAATATTGTAATAACTTTATATAGTGACAGATGGTAGCTATATCTATCATGGTAAACGTTTCATAATATATGTAATTTTTCAATCACTATATTGTACACCTGAAACAACATAATATTGTATGTCAACTATACTCCAATTTTTAAAAAAAGAAAGTTTTCACTGACCTGGTGCGACTACATTCACTCTAATTTTCTTTCTTGCTACTTCTTTAGCAAGAGCACGTGAAAATCCAACTACTCCTCCTTTACCTGCACTGTACACAGACTGGCCAGAATTGCCTTTTAAACCAATAATACTTCCTAGAAAAAATAAAACAAAAGTAAATTCAAACCAACTAATGGGTTATTTGAATATTTAGATAATTTACAGTAAACAAACAAGGCACAAACCATTTTACCTTGTTCTTTACTAAAATTGGGAATTCTAACCCTTATCATTTCAGTAGTAAGACTTAGGGTCTGAGTCTGCTCCAGAAACAAACAGAAAACAGGTTCTGAAAGAAGCTTATGTAAAACCTCAAATGTCAGGCAGGGGCTTGAGAACTGATCCATTAAATGAAAGAAACCCACTCTCATCTCTGAGTTTGTCAGACATAGTTAAAGTCCTATAGTATTTATAAAGTCTTCCAGTAGGAAGAGATTAAAACCAGAAAAAGTCAGATAAACGCTGATTAATTTTATGGTTCTACAACACAGAAATGAGGAGGTATTTATTTCCACCTAAAAAAATAGTTCATCTGAAGACAAATCTCACTAAATTTGAACTACCATCAGTCAAAATTAACAAAGGTTCAATTATAAACTTTTTGTAAAACTGCAATTTAGTTACCTTCAATGATGTATCATAACTTGTTTTGACCACTAAAGATTCTTGGGTGGTCTCATTTATATGAATATGAAAGAATAATTTCTAATTCAAATATCAACTGTATGCAAACAAATTCTTGCAAAACGGACATGGGGAAGTGATTTTCTGCACCAGTGATCTGTACTTATGATATAAAAATTAATCAAGAACTTCACAAAACCTTTGAAAAAGTAATTTTATTTTAGGAAAACATCCCAAACACTTTTTATATTATAATCAACAAGTCCAATATTAAAATATCTGCCTTATATATGAAATGCCAGTGAATGACAGAGGAAGAGAACTGTGAAGCAGAGAGAGAGAAAAGAAACATCAGACAGAGGAAACGCAGATAGACAAAAAAAGGGTATCAGGGAGAAAGAAATCCAGAGAGACACAAAAAAGAAAGAAAAATATGGGCATGGAAGGCCAAATAGGAAGCTTTAGTTCATGCCACACACTATTGTCCATCTAGTCAATAACTGTTAACTTCTGAAATAATCAATGAACTTTCTAGCAGTTTAAAGTAATCCTTTCTGTAAAAAGATTCTCTGATTTTTATTTTTATTTACTTTTAGCACAATTCTAAAAGCTTTGCATGTACACAAAGGACTGACGTGGGTTTTTAAATATATCTAAAAAGGGGATATTTTAGAGTTAAACAAATATACCCACATTATCGGGTGGTCTACAGAGGCCAGTATACCAGCTTCTGAGAATCCAAAATCATTACCTGGCTGTGTTAGAAGGCAAAGGTCGACTAATCTTTTACTTTTTTTTTTTTAAGATTTTATTTATTTATTTGACAGAGAAAGAGTTAGTGAGACCAGAAACACAAGCAGCAGGTGTGGGAGAGGGAGAAGCAGGCTTCCCGTGGAGCAGGGAGCCTGATGCGGGGCGATCCCAAGACCCTGGGATCGTGACCTGAGCCAAAAGCAGACGCTTAATGACTGAGCCACCCAGGTGCCCCTAATCTTTTACTTTTTAATCATTTACTAATCTTTTTTTAAGAAAACTCATTTCTTACATTTTTAAGAGTAAATGTCAAAAATGTTCTAATTCTTATTAGCACAGTATTCTTTTGTCATTTTCAGAAGAGAAAAACCCTACATTTTGGCTTGGAAAGCCATTTCCTATATTAAAAACAACAGGGTCCAAAAAAAAAAAAACAGGGTCATTTAACAGAGCAGCATTCCCCTTGTGTGGCTTTTTAAGATATTACCATTTAAAATTAAAAGACAGATGATATGCTATTTTCAAATTACCAAATTGAAATAGAATTGTAAGTCATTTTGCATTTTAACGTCTATAAGCACATACCACATGGTTTATCTGCCCCATGAGTCAGATGAACTGAAGACTAGGGGTTACTTACATTCATTCTAAAAAATTGAAAAGATTATTCCCTTAAGAAAATTTCCTCCTAAACCTCTGTACTAGATTTATTAGAGACACATGCAACAGCTGTAGAGATCATTTTTTAGTCTCCACCAAAAATTTTTCAATTCCTTATCCATATTTTTTAAGATTTTATTTATTTATTTGACAGAGAGAGACACAGCGAGAGAGGGAACACAAGCAGGGGGACTGGGAGAGGGAGAAGCAGGCTTCCCACCAAGCAGGGAGCCCAATGTGGGGCTCGATCCCAGGACCCTGGGATCATGACCTGAGCTGAAGGCAGACACCTAACGACTCAGCCACCCAGGTACCCCCTTATCCGTATTTTAAATATCAGGTTTCACATGCAAATCAGGATGTCCAATTTCTCTTAAAATGTCAAATGGCTGGCAAAATGGAGACCAGATCTGTGCACAGCAGCAATCCACTGGATCCAAGTGGTGGCTGCCACTCCACATGGCTTCTGGATACCAAAGCTAGGCATCATTTGTCATATATCAAATTTTTTTAATACCTGATGGTATCATTCAATTAACATCTGCTTGACCACTAGAGAGATGTGAATTTGTGATTCCTATTTTACCCAGTAATTGGTTAATCAAGTCGTTTTTCCATATAGTAAAAAGGCCCATTTCATTTGTTTCACACATGAACAAACTCTAAATTAGTCAACTAAATATTTTTATGGCACTATAAGTCTAATTTCACAGGTGAAGACTCACCTACATTAACAATAGACCCTCTCTGCTGTTGAATCATAGTCTTCAAGGCAACTTTACAAGTCAGCATGGAACCCAAGAGGTTAGTATGAAGCTGAGATATCATATCTTCAGTTTTTGTTCTTACTAAAAGGCTATCCCTACAAAAAAACAAAACAAAACAAAAAACAGTAGCATATAAATAAAAAATGGGATAAAAACAAATTCAAAAAGTCAAGAAATATATAACATTTTAACTGAAAATAGAAGATTAGGAATATAGGTGAGCTAGAATACCTAGAGAGTCCCATTTTAAACTTGATTTGAGGGGCATTAAAATAACTGATAAACCAGAACAGATATACCCAGAAGCAGGGTTCAGGGGCAAATATTCCTAACTGCTAAAAGTAATGCCATGCAGCCAAAATAGCTTGAATGAACTGAGCAACTGCCATTATACAGTAAGCCCTGTTTAGCAAGAAAATATACTATTCTAAATATTATCCTAAATTCATCTTTTAAAAAGACAAGAATACCTACTCTAATACCATTAAGTTCATGAACTTATACAATGGTGACAGAAGTCAGAATAGTGGTTACCTATAAGGTAGTATTCACTGGGAAGAAACTGAAGAGAGCCTTCTGGAGTGCTAGAAAAGTTCTATAGCTCAATATGGGTGTACTGCAATGTTAAAATTGATCGAACTGTACCCTTACTGATATCTCAATATAAAAGAATGTATAGATAGATCAAATTTTAAAATACATGTTTTTAAAATACATATTTTCTTCCAATTAGAGGTACAGCACGTTAATATATTTACTCATACCAATCAAAAATACATTAGAAAAAAAAACAGGAAATGTACTTAAATATATGACCAACCTGTTAATTCCAGCTGCGTTTACCAAGAAATTAACTCGACCTAAATTTTTTTCCATCTCTTCAAATGTATTTTGAACATCACGCTCTTTGGCAACATCACAGCTAAATGCTAAATGATCTCCTATACAACAAAGTTAATTAGCATTACTTATAAATTATAACTTCAATTTAAAAATTATTCAATACACATTTGTTAAGCATCTACTATGAGCTAAGCCTGTGATTACTGGAACCTAGAGATAAAAGATAATTATGTCACGGATTCCTGCTCTCAAGTTCAGTCCAATAAAACTGAGATGGGGGTGGATGGGGAGTAAGAAGTAAAGTAATACTACAGAATTAAATCTTAAAACTTTTTTTAATCAAGAAAAAATGGGAGGAAGGCCTTTTTGTGTTCATAAGGCTTTGTAAGATTCATCTAACATTTCTGGTTTTGACGGTGACCCCATGCTACTGAATTCAACAGTGTTCTGGGTTTTATATTTTTTTTGAAATTTATGTCTAATTCTGTTAGGTTTTTGTTAAATTGGTTTCCTAGTCCTGAGAATAAACCCTAAGGATCTTGTACTTTTTTTTTTTTAACTATGGCACATATATTACAATAACTATTACTCAAGCCTGACCATTACAAAGCAGGAAGCTATAAAAAGAAAAAATACCAAAACTAAAAAACACACACAAAAAACTTTTTACTAAAAACTGTTACTTCCCCTTTTTAAAATGCCCACTTTTTAAAGATGTTTAAATACCAAACGAATACACGTCAAAAAAAGCATTTTCCATTCAGTAATATATCATTTTAATACTCTAAATGTAGATTTTTTTTGAAAACTAAACAATTGCTTATTTTCTGGCAGACCTCACCTAGTAGTTAACACTAAAATTACACCCTCATTACTTTGGAAGCAGTAAGCTTTCTGGGAAGTCACACTTTGTAGGTCAAAACCAATTGCTTATGGAACACATAATTCAAGGAAGCAAAAGGCCCAGAAGACTCCTCTGTGACCCAATGTCAGCTTTCATCTGAAAACTTGTTGGGTTCACAATAACCCTCGAAGCTCAACCAAAAGTTTCAATCTACTCCAGCAAACACTAATGGCTAGGGATGACCCCCATAAGGAAAATCACTTTCTCACTCCTTTGTGACAGTAACATAATCGAAGTGAATAGGAGCAGGAAGAAGCAGTCACTAAAATTCTCCCTGCTCTGTAACTCGTTTCTCTCTAAACAGAGTCTAATATTTTCCCAACCCATGTGCACAATTAGAGTGAACCAATAAGTAACGTTAAAGGATACAGCCTCCAAATGCATCCCCAGCCTCTTCCCAATTCCTCCCCCATAATGAAGTGCATTTGTGCCTTTCAGGAACTAAACTGCCGCGTCTCGGCATTTTTCGTTCATCCTAATTCTCCCTACCATCAAGGGACTTAAATTTGCAAAATAATGCAAAACAATTACTAATCCATTATTAATAAACAAAAAAATGGATTTTAAGTGCAGTAAAAAGGAATGTGAAAATCTCAATTCTCCATTTGTAGAAGCCACCAAAACAATTTAATAACCTATTAAGTGGTAATGGATGTAGGAGAGCCAAAACAAGAGTATCTCAAAACCGGCTGGTACTCAAAAGAGTTTGTCTATGAAACACGGCTTTGTGCATTCGCACAGGGGCCAAAACAGCCCTCAAGAAAACTACAGCGAGCCTTTCAAGCCTGACACGCCTACTCTTCCTGCTTTTCCGCCCAGCCCCGTCTCCGGGCGGCGCCCCGGGACCTCGCGGCACAAGGGAACCCTTTACCCTGCATAAAAAATTAACTGTTGTGTGTCTCCCTCCTTCCAGACACCAAAACAAAACAGCGCAGCATCGTTAGCACTAGCCTCCGGGGTGGGTGCTTAATTAATGGGGCCTCACAAGACTGCTAAGACTCAAAGAAAACCCCAAGTGTTCAGCTCTTGGCGGCAGGCAGCGTGGCAGGGGATACTCTGCGGGGAACCGGGTGTTAAGGGGTTATCTGCCCAAACTGTGTCCACACTCAGGACAGGGTGCTCCTAAACACGGGTAGCTTAATTGCTAAACCTCAGAGCCGTAAATGCCAGACCCTCTCGTTTTCAAACGAAGAAACTTCAGGCTTTCAAGACTGCAGCCACACAACTTGGACGACTCCAGTTCGGTACCTACCGCCGAGCTCACCGGCGGCGGCTTTGGCCATTTCCAGATTTCTGGCGATGATGGCCAGTCGGTAGCCTTTTGGGGCCATTAACTGGGCCACTGCCCTCCCAATGCCCCGGGAGCCTCCGAAAACAGCACAGACTTTGTCCATTTTGGCCCGGGGAGTCGCAAACTCGGAGGAAAGAAGGCTAGGAGTGGCGGCTCCTTTCCAGATTCTCTCTGGCTTTTAAACCACAGTCTCCTAAAAAAAAAAAAAAACGCAAACCCCCGCAAAAAAAAAGAGAGAGAGAAAGAGAAAGAAAGCAAGCACGGCAACCTTCTGCCGCCGCACTTACACCACCCAGTAGGCGGGGAAGAGGCGCGAAGAGTACGACGTCTACGCAACGACGTCAGCGCGCACAGACTACCAGGCCCAGCGCCTTACGGGAGACGCGGGCGTAAAAGAGCCCGGGCGGCCGAGGACTGGCCTGGAAGGGCTGCGCTGCATGCTGGGACTTGTAGTCTTCACGCGGGAGAGGAAGCGGCGTAGGCTCACTGTTCAGTGGGAAATGTCCTCAAGGAAATGAAGGGGGGTCAGGGTGACCTCCATACTCCTTGGGACGTGAGAGTCAGAATTAGAGTTCAGATGACCTACCATTCCAGTGTCCCTGGAACTAATGGGGTTAAGACGCTGGACTTAACGTTTTTAAAATCGTAACAGTCCCGTCAACCGAGATAAATTGATTATGGTAGTTAAAACCCAGAATATACATTATTCAGAGTTCCATTGTCTGCCTTTCATCCAGGAATTGTTTTTTGGCTAAAGACTAAATGCCCTGCCTATTGAAGAAGTGATCCCCAAGTACCAGACTCACGCAAAAGCTATCCTACCTGTCCCTCCCCCAAGTTGTAACGGAAATAGACCTCACCCCATCTGGATATTACCATTCATCCCAAGTGTGTTGCAAAGGCAGCTGCCTATCAAGAACACCATATATAACAGGAACTCAAGAAACGTTAGTTGAGTGAATTGTCTTGCAGGATCGATGAAACAAGCATGGCTGCTGCAAACAAAAACAGGTTACTACAAGTCTAAAGAGAACGTGCTCAGTGTTCTGAGAGTTAATAAGCTAAAAGTTGAGCATTTGTTAACAAGGATACTGTTAAAAGGAAGCATTTCTTGGTAGAGTATCACTGCATTAGATGATTCAAAAAAGTAGAAGTTTCATGGGTCCTGCTACTAAAAAATATACAACCTGGGACAACAGGACCAATACACACAAACACTAACAAGTAGTAGGAAACCCTAAAGTGAAAAATGATATTAACACAAGAGCTCAGAGAAAAGGGAGGGAGGTCAATGAAAAAAATACAAGAGTGCTTAGAAAAGCTGGATTGGAGGACTGGATGTAAAAGAAGAAGAGGAAGGAAGGAAGGAAAGGAAGGAAGGAAGGAAGGAAGGAAGGAAGGAAGGAAGGAAGGAAG